TGCCCAGGAGTTTCACCTAGAAAAGAACCCTAAAAAAGAACTTTGATGATTGGCAAAGCAGGATTAATAAACAAAGTTAGCAGAGAATACAACACAAAACAGCCTCACCAATTGCAGCTTCAAAAATGTCATCTAGTTTTCATAATGTATAACAAAGAATGGAACAGTGTCAACCCATGGGAGGAAAACAGACAGGGTAAGAGAAGCTGAATGGAAATGAGTTACATACCAGAAAACACAACATGTGGTTAGGAAGAACGAAGGGAGAGGGGCCCAGGAGTGTTGGGTGTACCACACTGAGCTGGGGGAGGAAAATGTAGGCACTGCTGCTGCGCTGAGCAAGAGAGGAAAGAGACAGCAAGGGAAGGAGTGGAACAGTGAGCATTTGACTAACTCCTCTAAAAATCTCCAGCTGAATGCTGAAGTATTAGAAAGCTTGCTTGTCTATTTTTTTCACTTGCTTTTAGTCTACTTAGAGGGTAGAAGACAAAACTGGGCAAACCACTATAGCTCCACTTTTGAAGCAAAGGGAGAAAACTGGTTTATGAAATAGAAGTGGTAAGTGTTTTGAGAGTAAGTAGCCCTTCCTACTTGGAGTTCATGAAATCGAGGAGGAGAAAAGTACACGTAGGCAGAGGTGCCCTTTGGAAGTGTAGAAATAAAGAGGCCGGCGAGCTCTAGAAGAGAAGACAGCTCAATAATATGCAGCTGCTGAGAAAGAATATAGCTCACAAATAATGCCGATAATAAGGAAGGGCTTCATAGGACCCCGAGAGAAACCGGGTTCCAAAGGGACTTGTACAAAAGATAGAAAGGATGTTTACTAAGAATAAATAAACGTGCACCTGCATAACTCATGTTGAAAGGGAAAACCCCAAACAAAGCATAATGCTATAGACAATAGGAGGCCTTTTGTAAAGTTTGTTCTTAATAAGATCAAAGAAAGGATGGACTTGATTATTCCAGTACATCTGAAAAGTGAAACAAGTTAGGGCAGCCGTCCAAACACTGCAAGAATTTTAAGAAATCAGGGGCCGGGGAGATGGCTCAGTAGAATAAGTGCTTGCCTGGCAAGCATAAGGGTCTGAGTTCAATCCCCAGTTCCAGAAAAAAAAAAAAAAAAAAAAAATTAAGAAATCAGAAAACCAAGTGAGTTGCTAGATATCTGGAAACAAGCCATCCGCTCCTTGATTTTCAAAATTGCAAAAAGTGTTACGTGGGTTCTCTAAAACCTGGTCTGCTGCACCTGAGATGAACTTGATGGTTTTCAAGAAGCTAGAAGACAAGGTCCTGTCCACTAGGAGTTCATTGTATCAACTGCTTCATTGTTTGGCTACAGCGTGTCTTACAGCAGTAGACAGGTAGCATGCTTCCGTGAGGTGTTGCCAGAAGACTGCTCGGGATAGACTTCAGGATGAGATGGGGAAATACTGTGGAGTGCTGAAACAGGCCTAGGGATACCTCAATAAGTTTAGGCTCATGTGTACGTGTGGTGCATGCTAGATAGTCTACCTGCCCGTGGCTGTCGATGTTTGGTGTACGGAAGGGGGAGTTGACATGGGTATCCTGGACACATTATGATGAGGGGCTATGTCTGTCTGTGTGACTCTGTAATATCTGTCTCTGTTGTCACTTCTGTGTAAAGAGTTGTTCTGGGTGCTGAACAGTGTCAGCATGCAAGGATGGCCATTTAGTATGTCCCAAAAGAGTTACCAAGGGTTTGTACAAACTCCAAGACAGGCCCATGCAGGGGATAGGCCTTGAGAAGTGCGGTGTCTTTTGGTTCCTTTGCAGAATGAGGCCAGCCATAGGCAGTGCCTGGGCTCTCCTCTCCTGTTGCTTATCCTCAGCCAACTTCCTTTCTTCCTTCCTCCTTTCCTCCTTCCCAGGGAGCTCTGCGCCTGCCTCCTGACTGACCTGAATGATTTTCTCTCCTTTCTCTTCCTTCCCACAGTCAGTTCTGAATGTGATCAGTGAGCTGCAGGAACAGATGTGTAGGCTGCAGCTGGACATCCACAGGCAGATTCAGGAGCGCCTGATGCTCAGTAGGGACCCCCCGGATGAGGTGGCAGCCAGTGACAGTGCAGCCAAGCCCCAGCTTTGCAGACAGGACTGTGCCCCTTGGGAAGGGTCACCTGTAGGAACCACACTTGAGTATATCAGAGCATGCGTGTGTGGGGAAGCTCACTGGTGGGGGGCTGGGATTTCTCCTAACTGGAATAGAGTGTGGTGGCTTAGCATGGATTTGGCATAACCTTGAGGCAGAGCTGGGCTTCACTGGGTCCTCTGAGGGTGTGGGCTGAGCTCTGGGACCTTGCCTAAGCAGGACCTAAGCAGGTGAGCCCAACCTACTGCCAGGTGGTGCCACTCATCTTCCTTAGGGCTGGGGGTGAGGGGTGTCATGAGGAGGCCTCACTCTAGCATTGAGGGCTCTGTGCATAGGAGGCCTCAGGACTTGCTTCCTAGGCATATGATGCAGATACTTACTTCCCCTACTGGGCTGGGGAGTAGATGAAGCTTCATTCCATTTAATTTTTTTTTTTAAGGAAAAGAAAGTATCATAAAAAAATAATCTTTTCAAGTTAGGTTTATAAAGTTTACCCCAGTGAGAAAATCGAGCTCAAGTTTCCATTTACTGCCAACAGTAAAGTCATCATCAGATTTCCCCCATATCTGGGCCATATGCCACCCCAGTCACAGGATTCTGGAGCTCCCAGTCTGTGTCCCCATCATGTCCCCCCAAATGCTTGGGGTGCAGTGGCCTACCCTTTCTGATTCTAGGCCTGTTGCTGTCTTAGGACAAACTTAGTAGCCTGGCTGAGATGTAGCAGAACAGAGCCCCCAAGTGCTGTGTGTCGTAGCCCTTCAGACAGAGCCAGCCATGTTCCTAGAAAATGATTCTCAATCTGTGCAAGTAAAACTAGGTGACCAAGACCATGGAGAACAGTGATGCAGATCGTAGATGATGCAATGACCTCAGCTTTGAAAATTTATTTTTAAAATAAGCCTCAACAAATGCACACCTCAGGTAGAAGATTATCTTAATAAATTACCCTACAAAATTGCAGTGCAAGCAATGGCAATTTAAGATGGATTGGCTCAGAATGTCAAGAATTGCAGGCCAGTTAAATGGTGATTTGAATTTCAAGTATTTGTTCATCGACAAATAATATATACCTACTATGTGCTAGCAACTGCTGACTCATTAGAAGCCAGCAAGTACCTCAAGGGGATTACAGTATAGGAAGTAAATGAGCCTTTAACAATGATACAAATAAATATTTGGTTGCAGACTATGAAGGGGACAATTGGAGTACAACAAGAGAGTCAGCGGAAGGACCTAATACAGAGCGGAAGTCAGGGTACCTGTGCACAGGGAGACCTACATGAGGAGCAGGCGCTAACTTGGGAGGTGGACTCAGAAAAGGGAATAATATTTGGGAAGACTGAGTAGGAACTGAAAGCTATCCCATGTGACTACAACTTCACTGGGAAGAAGTGATGTGGGAGGTAGGCAGGGATAAGTCTGACTGATTCAGTTATATGTCAGAGTTTATGAGCTTTGCAAAGCAGAGGAACACCATGATAAGAACTGCATTTTCTTTGTGCTGTTTACCTGTCAGTTTCCATGCATGTAGGAGGGGCAAGCAGCAGAGGCAGTGTTCAGGGACCAGCCTGGCCGGCTACCAGCTCCCATTGCCAGGCCAGTCATGGTGCTGGAGTGGGGGAGAAATGGAGTGTTCCAGCTATTTTCTTGGAGGTAGAATTGATAAGGTTTGGAAAGTAATTATGTAAGCAAGGGAAGGAGAAAAAAGACACATCGAGGATGGTCCCCGGGTTTCTGGAACAGAACACTGGATAGCTGGATATTCCATTTAGTGAGGCAGAGGGGACCAGGGCAGGAGGTAGAGATGCAGAGTTCCATTTGGGACATTCACAGCCTTCACATGTCTGGGTAGCGTCCACAGGGAGGTGCTGAGTAAGAGGTTTGTTGTATTGGTTTGCACTTCAGAAAGCCTATGGGAATAATGACCTTCATGCCAATTCTTCTGCTAGGAGTGAGGCAGCAGGGCCAGAGTTCCATGAAAGGACATTTTTTTACTCAAGATGACAGGGCTTAGTGATATTTTCTTAGTGGGTAGCTTAAAAGCAGAGGCCCTAGAGTCAGAAGATATGAGCTGGAATTCCCGCTCTGCCTCTTACTAGCTATATAAATACAAGCAAGTTGTTTGAAGATCCTTCCCACTCAGCAACCTTTAGGCCTCCTTCTTATTCAAACAGCCAATTCAGAACTTCTTATATTCTCATCTAAAACCCTGTACAGTAGAGCTCCATCTTTACTTTCCAGTGCCATCGCATCTTCCTCTATGTGCAACGCCCTCTTGCGCTCCAGCTCAGCAGGTCATCTCCCTTCTGGCCCTTAGCTGTGCTCTCCCTGCATGCGTCTGTCACCCTTCTTTCTCTAACCCAATCCTCCAACCTGGGGTGCCCACACTGACACCTAGCACTGATTCCGCTGAGGGTTTCATGTCTGTCCCACTGGCTGTCACTTCTTGTGTGAAGCCTTCCAAGGTAACCAAGTGCCCCTTCAGCATGGAGAGATCTTCCTAGTTAGCCCGCTTCCCACTGGCTTGTCAGCACCTAAAGGGAAGAGTGGTCTCTTTTCTGCATCTCTATCCCCAACCCCACCCCCAGCCTTATCTGTGTGTTTCCCTGCATGCTATGGGCATACCCCACAGAGGAAACAGACATCGGAGAAAGACACAGGCAGGACAGATTGTCAGAAGGACATTTTCTCTCTCATGTGCCTGGAACTTCTATTGTTTTTAAATGTCCACCTGCTTTTCATGAAGCACAGACCACACTTAAAGATCAAAGTTGCCGCATGGAGCCTGCTGTGGTTGCTGCTGCCCCTGGCATTTCTGCATGAGTGTAACCAGGTGCGGAGACCCAGAGCAAGTCCTTTAATCACCGCCACTTTGTCTTCCTCTTCCTTCCAGGAGTTACTGCAAGAGCTCAAGCACCTCAAAATCAAAGTGGAAGAGCTTGAAAATGAACGGAATCAGTACGAGTGGAAGCTGAAGGCCACTAAGGTAAGGGTGGTCGTGATGCTTGCGGGGGAGCACCATGGAGGCTCTGGGCATGGATTCAAGCTTGATTTCCAGCAGCCTGTGTTTTAAAATGCAAATCAACACCACTTTGTTGAATTCCAGCTCCACCACCCACTAACTGCACAAATACAAGCAAGTTGTTGAAACATCCCATAAACACATAGCAGTGTCCAGATTGTGTGACAGACAGATTGAATCTAGGAAAGCTCGTTGTGCAGAGCCTGGAAGAATGAGCTCTCCTTCCTCTCTCTGCCTCCAATAGCACGTACCCGAGGTCTAGGCAGCGAGAGAGTGAGTGAGCCAGTGAGCCCACGAGTGACGCCCCGAGCGCCGAGTCCTGCAGAATCATATTGGGTGGTACTTTGCAGTTAGATGGGAATGCAACCCTAGAATGATATACAGTTTCAATTATTTTTTTCAATCAAATCATATTTCTTTTAAACTCAGGAGTTTGCAGTATAAAGGACACCAAAGAATATAATCTTCTGTGAAATAAATTTCTTCCTTCACTTTATTTTTTTCCTAGTTGAAATGTAGATAATAAAACTAGTAGAATGAACTCAGCCCATGAATTTATTTTTTGTCCTGCATATTGTATTTCAAAATGTCAAATTAGCTGTCATTTAAACATCGGGAAATTTCACATGAAAATACGGTCAGGCTACTTTAGTTTGTGAAGGACTCTGTTGTAAACAGCAATCTATTTCAAATAAGCAGGAGAGAACAAAAGCTCCTAACACAGAGAAATGATTAATGCTTGA